GTGGCTCGCCCATGCCTTTGCTTCAGGCAGACAAAGGTTGCCATGGCGAGCCTGCTCTGAGGTGGGAGGGACCTTTGGGGAGAGTCGATGCTCAAGGCTGCTGATGCCCTGAGCCGAAAGGTCCTTTCATCTTCTAGGTTTTACAAATGTCACCTCACACAGGGTAAGAAATTGGCAGCTTTTCTTCCACAAGAGCTTTCAAACCCAATTAAGAGACCCATTTTGCAGGTCTCATTTGTCCGGCCTCACAATGATGGTGTGCCGCCGTTCGGCTCAGACACCCACTGCTGCGCCGATGCTAAGCTGTGATTACAGCTCTGAGGGGATCGATAAGGCAGGCTGCCTCACGGGCTGTCACTGGGCTCTGGGCTCTTTAAGGCCTCACAAATTACAGACAATCAGCCTCCTGAGCTGAAAAGGGCCAGCTCCCTGCAGCAAACACGTGAATGTCTGCTTTCCACCAACCCAAACTAAGTGGGCTGAGCTCACAAGGGCTTTGTTGAAGAGTGGCCTGGGAGATGTCAGAATTAGTCCTAACCTAAGGCTGGGACTTCTGAAAAGGAGATTGTCTTTAAAGATGGTTTAACCCCCGGTAGCATTCAAACCTCCACACACCATCACAAGCAAAGAGCCCGGGCAAGCTGGTGCTAACAGCACCATCTTTTACACACCGCCTTTAAATAGTTTCCGCCACGGACTTGTACGAGCCTCAGTTTCTTTGTTATGAAAACTATGGTTGATAATGTGACCAATCCTCATATGGATTTTGAGGCTGAAAATTGATTATATAAAGCACAATAAATAGGCTAAAACACAGTTGCGTAGCCGTCATTCAATAAACTTCTTTGACAAGTACCAAACTAGAAGATTCAGCTTTGGATACTAAAGACTCAAAAATGACATTGTTTTCACTGTATGACAAGTGACCCAGAAATGCTCGCCTCTGTGGTTCTGCTATGGTCTTGGTGGAGTACAGATGCGTCACCTGGAGGAAGCTGATGGTCTTCGAAGACTGTTGCTTCTTATCCTGAAAGCTGCCCTCTGAAATCTTACAAGACTGAAAAAGTGTAATATGACCTGAATATCTTAGGTGTTGTTTGCATAAATTGTGACATATCATAAAAAAAATTGTACAGTAATAATATTCTCAAAGAATATTTGGACAAGAAGGGGACCAGTATGAGAGGAACAGGATAGGCGCTGGGGGAATGGGGTGGAATAAAAATAAAGTCTGATAAGATGTGTATGGAAGTGCCATAATGAAGCCCCTTGCTTTATTTTCTAACTTAAAATGTAAATTAAGAAGAAGTTTTAGCGGGGCGGTAGTGATACACGCCTTTAATCCCAGCACTAGGGAAGCAGAGGCAGGCAAATCTCTGAGTTTGAGGCCAGTCTGGTCTACAGAGTGAGTTCCAGGATGGCCAGGGCTACATGTACAGAGAAACCCTGTCTTGAAAACCAAAAAAAAAGGAAGAAATAGTTTTAAATGTTTGAAGGCCAGTGAGATGACTAGGTGACATGTTGCCCTACAAGTCTGGTGACCCACATGAAGACAGAAGGAAAAACTGACGTCACAAAGTTGTCCTCTGACCTCCCCATGAGAGCCATGGCTGAGTATCCACACACACCCAACACACACACACAATAATAGCAGTATTAGAAATAACAACAATAGTAGTATTAATATTAATAATAAACTAAATATTTAAATAGTGAAAATATAACAAAATAAAACATGATGCAGAAAATGTGTATGGATTGTATCATCTCAATTTACGTAACCCACAAATATAGAGATACTGGATAAGGCCTCGAGAGAATTATACTCTAAAATAGTTGCTGTATTTTCCCATTTCTACAGTGAGTGCCCATTATCCATAAATACAGAGGGCACAATAATTTTTAAAAGTGAAAAAGTGTAATCAAAACTGACATTGAAGATAGTAAATTGGCAATGTGGAAAATTACAGTGATGCACAGAAAACCATGAGCAATTATTGAAAATACAGAGGAGAAAATGACCAAAAAAGCAAGGGGGAAGAGAGGGACTATTCAAAGAGAGAGAGAAATTATGGAAAAAGTACTGAGTCTATGGAAATTTAAGCACCAGAGAAGTGTGTGGAAGTGGCCTACTCACTAACAGGGCAGAGAAAATGCCCCAAGGTAGACAGAAAGCTGGGTCATGAGGAGGGCTTACCAACTGCTAAGATCTCAGCAAAGAGTATGGAGTTACAGTGAAAGCTTGCTCTAGGGTCAGGCCTACTGTGAAGAGTGAGACACTTGCCCAGAAATAAATCGACCAGAATTCCAGGCCATGCCTCTGCAGACAGCTTTGCTGGCCTCTCAAGCCCTGACGGGCTGTGTCTTCTCTGGAAACTCTCACTTGATTGTCCTTGTCAAGGACGGCAAGAGTGTCCCTGGGAAACCAGGATTTCAGCATCAGAGCCTGGTAAAGCCACCAGGGATTCACCCCGCAAAAATGGCTCTGACTTCATGTTGGGGACTAGTGTGTGGCAGCCCCTTCTCAAGCTGGAGCAACACCTATTCGATGCCTTTTAGCCAAGGAGGTTTGGCTGTGCTGCAAAACCTCTGAAAAGAAGAAAATGGTCCTGTAAAATTCTACTGGGACTTCCCTAGAACATGCCTGCTGCCATTTTTAGAAATCTGCTTCACAGTACCCTTTTATGCTTCTGTTACAGTACAGTATAGATGTACATTTACTAGAATATATATTTTTAGATAGGGTCTCATGTGGACCAAGCTGGTGTGAATTCCCCGAGCATGATTATGAACTCCTGATTCTCCTGCCTGCATCTCTAAACTGTTGGTGTTACAGGCAGTCCCAGCCCACTCAACTCTACCAGTTCATTTTTTATCAGCTGCCTACTTAGTGACTTAGATAGGACCAAGTGAGCTAACCAAAGAATGTAAAGCATGGTTTGATCACAGTACTGCTGGCCTGCCCACAGATCTCTGCATCAGAATGAACAAGAATTTACATTTCCCGGCCCATCGGAGCCTTGCTGAGTTTGACTTTGTACAGGCCGAGGCTAGGAACCAGCAAGTCCTTTTTCAGGGCTCCCCTGCAGACAGCATACAACACAGACCTCATCTCCCACCGCCAAGATGCCAGGCCTCTTTCCCAGACACCGAGATTGTTTACCTTTCAGGAGAAAAGGGACTCTGCTGATGTGATTAACATTAAGAGCCCTGACTTGGAAAGATTATCTTGGATTATCAGAGTGGACCCAATCCTATCATGCGGGTCCTTAAAAGTGGAGACCCGATTCCACATCTGCAGTCAGAACATGACAGTGAGAGAAAGGTCAGTGAGATGGAACACAGCTGCTTCTGGAGATGGAGATGGGAGCTGCAGGCCAAGGAATTCCAGAGGGCTTTAGAAAACTTGAGGAGGTGGGGAAATGGATTTTCCCCTTGGGCTTCTAAGATGACAATCTCGATTTTAGCTCATTAAAACCTAAGTCAGACTTGCAGAACCATAGGAAAATAAATGTGTTTGAAGCCACTAAACTATGCGTAGCCTCCTTAAGAAAAAAGGTCGTACATGGGAGGCGAAAACACACAGTCTTATTGAGTAGTCTCAGGACTAGAAATTGAGGGCCTTGCTTCCTAGTTTAGTTTGGCCACACTAGACATGTGATCTTCCACCAAGGCATTCTCCTGTCAGCCCCAGTGTTCTCACCCATAAAATATGTGGAACCTTCACTGCTTTACCTTATACTCGGAGATTCCGAGAAAACAATATGTATATTGAAATCCTTCTTTCTAAAGTTAACAGGCCTTTCTCAGTATTGCAACCCTGAATCTGACATGAGAACAATACATAAGGAGGGCTGATGAGTTAATGTAGTTCATTGTTTGTGCTATTAAATGTTTTTTAAAGGCTCACATTTGCTGGGACATGGTGGTACATTCTTTTAATACCAGCCCTTGGGATGGAAAAGCAGGTGGAGCTCTGAGCTCAAGACCAGCCTGCTGTACATAGTGAGATTCAGGCCAGGGCTACACAGTCAGACCCTGTCTCAAAAAAAAAAAAAAAAAAAAAAGAGGGGGGGACATAAATTCCAATCATTCACTCTGAAGATCCTGGTGGAATGGAAAATTCACCACGGCTGTCATTTGCATCTGTTGGATACCCTCATGTAAGCCCTGCAGTTGTTCGAGTGAATACAGAGAATGAATTAAATGTATGCACGGACATAGCAGAAGCCTTAGGTAAGCTGTTGGCTCACCGACAAATAGCACATACAGCCAAGTAGCCCATACAGACATTGAGGCATGGCCACAGCTGTCACTTGGGGTAAAAACAGGATCCTAGGGTGGTAGCAAGATCTTAGATTCTGGAATACACAGATGCATGGTCTATAACTTCCCAGCTAGAAGCTGGGAGGAAAGTTACCAGTCGTTTTCTCCCCCAGTTTCTTCAGTGCTCTGAGGAGTAAATACGTCTGGAGAGTGCTTAGGCACGGTGGCCAGCAGTGGATACCCCAACAAAAATATTCGCTGCCCTCTGTGGTAGCCACTGATCTATCTAGCAGAAGGGCCTGTGGTGATAAATGCTTGCCCACAGCTCATGGGAAACAGCACCAGGATCTAAATCCAGATCCCGTCAACTCCAAGACCAGAGTTTCCCAGCTTTCCTGTTCTCTGGAAGAAATCTTGGGGCACTGCTTTCTGTTTGCAGCTGTGGTTCTTTGTGGGGCCCCACACTCCCAGAAGACTGCCTTCCCCGCTTCCCCCATCTTACCTGGATCACTCCTCCCCCTTCCCCAGCTCTTCCAGCCAAAAAGGCCTCTGGCAGCTCCAGCATCTTCCCCAGCCAATCCATCATCACTGTCTCCAGCTCTGTGCACGCTGGGCTTGCAGCCTGCAGTGGGGGTGGGGTGGGGGAGGGAGAGTGAGGCACTTAAAGCCACGGGGCAGCTGGCCTCAGCACAAAAGGGTGACATGGGAAAGCATTGTTTCTTTGGTGACTTTTATTTGATCAATTTAACAAAAAGTTCACATTTTTTTTTTTTTTTGTCCCCCAAATCCACTCTTGGCAGGGAATTAATCCCTTGCTCGCTGTGTCTGGAGCATGTCTTCCCACATTCCTATGTTGAAACCTGAACCCACTAGGAGAGTATTGAGAGGTGGGGGCACATTACGGGTCAACCCGCCTGCGTGGCTCCTTTGGTCATGAACTGACGGGAAAATGGGTCGTCTCAGGAGTGGGCTAGATTGAAATGGGGAAGCTCACCCCAATTCTTGTCTGTTTTATGTATGCCTGCTGCCTGCTGCACTCACACAGCACGCTGCGCTGCCAGATGCCAGTAGCGTGTTCTTCACACCCTCAAGTAGACTTCTAATGTTTATAAAGGATTCAGTCGATGGTATTTTCTTCTCCCCCAGCAAACCGATTGAGACAATGCTGTGTTCTCATTTCCCAGAGATCGGGAGGAGCCTTGGGGCTTAGCTCTGCCAAGAGGTCTGGAAGCAGGGCCTGGGCCTGGCAGCGCTGATAGAACTTTACAAGGAGGACGTCTCTCTGCTCTTCCTCAACTCCTTCCAGATAGGACACAGGAAGCCGTGCCGGGTAGATCTCCATGAGCCCCTTCGGACTTCCCTCACCATCGCCATCTTCTCTCCACGACAGAAAGTCTCAGGGTGTGAGCTGAGAACAGTCCCTGCACACATCAACCTCCCCAGCCCCACCACACACACAGTCATGATTCTCTAGGAACTAATGCTGAAGCAAGGGCTCAGATACTGAGGAGTTTGGGGTCAACTCTGACTGAACCCCAGGATAAAATCTCCCAATCGCAGATGGGCCTCAAGTGCTTGCACTCAGTCTCAGACTTAAGCTTCTTTCATCCAGATTGGGACAAGGAGACCCAGCATCGGCCTCTGTGAACCTTACTCCACCAAGCCTGCCTGCTTCATGCACTGTGTACTTGAACAACACAGAAAGGTCTACTGGTAGACCCTCTTCTATGGCCGTGAGTGAATTTTAGAGGGCAGAGTTGAGTCAAGGAGATGGGCATTGGCTACTTTCATCCCCTAGGCAACACCAGACAAGCTACTCATCTTTTTGTTGTTGTTGTTTGCTTGTTTGTTTTTTCTCTGTGTAGTTTTGGTGCCTGTCCTGGATCTCGCTCTGTAGACCAGGCTGGCCTCGAGCTCACAGAGATCCGCCTGCCTCTGCCTCCCGAGTGCTGGGATTAAAGGCGTGCACCACCGCCACCTGGCCAAGCTACTTATCTTATGAAGTCTTTTAATTGCCCAGTGACTTGGCGTCTGGCCTCCCTTCTCTCATTGCACGCAGAAGGAGGCTGTATATTCTTAGGTCCAGGCAAAGGTGATTTGAGTTCCCAGCACAACCTGGTGTCCAGAGTGCTCTTGCAGATACCCGTGCATTCTGGCATCATGACACATTGATGGCAAGAGGAACTGAGGACTCTCTCCCTGCTGATCTGATGGTCACCCTCATCCTGATGGGTTTTACTGCAGTCAGGCTAACCCTAACTCCAGGCATAGGAACCAGCATTCCCTGTTATGAACCGCAGCTATCAAGTAATACAACCTCTGAAACAGGAAGGCAGACATTTCCTTATTCAAAACATAAAAGACCATTCCAGACGAGCAGATAAATCAGAGGTTGATGCTGGGTCTCCAGACAGACATGCAGGAGCAGCAGAACTAGACCAGTGAAACTGTCCACTACAACATCTAATGAAAGAAAAGGGTACACTCAGCCTAGGCCAGGTCTGTCCCCAGGAGGAGGAGGTCCCAGCTGCCTGACAGAAGAGCAACAGCAACAGTAGGGAGGTGTCCTTAGCTCTTCCCATGAGCTGTGACTCCCATGTGCTCAGCTCCTGAGGATCCCGGCTTGAAGACAAGCAGGTGTCACATGGTGGTGAAGCAGCCAGCTCAGCTGGTCTCTGCTGGCTCCTGAGAATTCCCAAGTTGCCCTCCCTTTCTATAGCCCAGGTCCTCACTCAACACTAGTCAACCCGAGTGGGCTCCAAGGTACAGATAAGGGAGACATTCTGCATCTAGAAAGCCAAAGACAACTCTAGACTTGGAGTAACTCTTCATAGTGTGGGTAGCCCCAGAACCTGAGCGTCAATGGCACCTGCTTAAAATCCCTCCTGAAACACACAGCTAGGACACAGAGAGGAGAGACCTAGGCCCATTGACTTCAGAGTAGGGAACTTTCTAAGTCTTTATTCCATGCAGGAAGAGACCTCACACAGGGAGGGATGGACTGCCTGGAGGCAGCCTTAAGCCTATTTCCAGACACTTTTGCTCTGCATACTTGCCCATCAGATAGGCTGGGCAGTAGCCTAGTGGGGGGCAGATGGAATGAGACAGGGTGGCAACATTCTCAGACTTCAGAGTGCATAGCAATCTTCTGGTCTTAGGGGAATGCAGGATCCAGCTTTGGGCTGTAGAAGCCTCACTGCCTTAGACTGGGATTTTGATTCAAATCAAATGCTTATAAAAACAAAACAAAACAAAACAAAAGCCCTATGCAAGACCTCTTCTCTTCTCTTCTCTTCTCTTCTCTTCTCTTCTCTTCTCTTCTCTTCTCTTCTCTTCTCTTCTCTTCTCTTCT